GGGGCGGGCCCCAGCCATTTAAATTTAAATGAAGCCGCGATTATTTTAATCGCGGCTTCATTTCCCTTTTCCGATCTGGCTAATCTACATGCCTCCGTCGAAGGAGGCATGTAGTCTAGACACACCCTTTCTGTCCAGGTGTCCGTCTACAGTGTGTGTCTGATCTCAAGTGAGCACTTGATCCGTGCTGGGCCTCAGTTCCCATCTGTGAAATGGACATAAGAGCAGTTCCCCAGCCTAGCAGGGCCCTTGGGTGGTTAAAATCCATTCAATATCTGGCTAATCTACATGCCTCCGTCGAAGGAGGCATGTAGTCTAGACACACCCTTTCTGTCCAGGTGTCCGTCTACAGTGTGTGTCTGATCTCAAGTGAGCACTTGATCCGTGCTGGGCCTCAGTTCCCATCTGTGAAATGGACATAAGAGCAGTTCCCCAGCCTAGCAGGGCCCTTGGGTGGTTAAAATCCATTCAATAACAGTGACCACCTTAGCTAATAACACCTCACTCTTACCTCGTACTGCTTGCCTGCAGAGCTCAAAGCGCTTTCCCAATGACCGCGGGAGTATTGTCCCCATTTTACAGATGGGCCAAGTGAGGCACGGTGGCAGAAGTGACTTTGAAAATGTCACCCAACAGCCGAGTGGGAGAACCAGGACTCGCTGTGCGAGGTCTGGCCCAGGCAGAAGAGAACTGGCCTTGGACATAACCTGCAGCATGACTCTTTAAGCCACGGTGTGGTTTTTAATGGGCAAGGGAAGAAGAATTCCACTCCCCTGGGTTAACTTATATGTTACATCCTGTGGCCGGCCAAAGGCAGCGGAGGGCAGGTACACGGGAGGTGGGTGAGCGGGATCCTGTTCCCTGCCTAGGCCACCAGAGATGGCTGCTTGGCAATCGGCGCTCCCACCTCCAAATTCCTCAATGATATTGTGCCACCATTTGGCACCCCATTTAACTTGGCACCCTAGGCTACCGCCTAGTTCAGCTATATGGACGGGCCGCCCCGGGAGCCCCACTAGTGGCTGCTACCCGGGGCCCTGGGCCAGAACCTGGAGTATGTGGGCAGGACTGGGTTCCCCTTTCCCTCCCCACGCCCGGTGGGCCACCATCAGGGAAAAGGGGAGTCTAGGACCACGGAAGGGCTTTCCCCCATGCCGGTGACAGGAGTGGCTCTTTAAGCGGGAGAAACAGGAGGCAGTGGGAAGGTCACCGTGAGCCTCTGAGGCGCGTTAACATTCTGCCAGGAACCGCGGGACCCGGGTGCCACCACACCACGCCTTGGAGAGGTACATGGTCAACCTGTGCATGATGCTTTGCAAGATGGAGGCAAAGGGAGTGATGCCGATGCCCGCGCCGACCAGCACGGCATGTTCCGAGGCGAAGATCCGCCGCGTCGGCGTCCCATAGGGGCCGTCAATATAACACTGAGGGAGAAGAGAGGCTGCAGTTGGGGGCACACGAGACACGTCTGCTTCAGTCTCACAGGAACGGCTCTCGCCGGGTTTCTCTAACCCCTCCCCACGCCGGCGGAGGGACAGAACCCACAGCCTGGGGGCTCACCTGCAGCCTTTGCACCGCCCCACCCAGCCCCTTCAGGGAGCGGCGCCGCCTGGGCTGAAAGTTGATGACTCTATGACCTATGAGGCGAGGGCTGAGCCCCCAACATGGCCTCAAAATGCTGGTCATTTATCTGGGGCCGCGCTGGGAGCTGAGACTGATCTGGCAGTCGGGCCTCGCTGGGGGCACGAAGCCGCCTGAAAAGTCAAGGCCTTGGTGCTCCGGTGCCTTAGCGTAAGGTGCTCCAGACCCCTCTCCCCACAGCTTCCCCCAGAAGGCTGCAGTGCCAGAGCTGGCTCCCCAATGCTAGGGGGAGGAGCCCCGAGCCTCGAGGGCCGAAGTCAGGCAAGCCAGAGCCAGATCTGATCCACGGGCTCTATCTGGTGGGGGAGGAAACAGCTCCGTGCACTGCCCCTCCGCCTCCCCCCACCTCTGGCTGGCGCAGTAAAGCACTGCCTGGAGGCTTTCTCCCCACAGAATCTACTAACGTGGGCTCCCCTAGGCTCTGGTGCGTGAGGGGCATGCGGGGAGTGTCCTCCTCCTCAGTCGGGGCCACGTCAGTGAGGGGTTTGGTTTTTGGGGGGAGGGTCATCTTATTTTTGTGCAGCTCCCGATTCATTTTTCTGTGGGTCAGAGGCCCCTTGACCTCAAAAAGGTTCGTGACTGCGGCGTTAGTGGGAATGGAGGGGCCCATCGGCAGGCGAACAAGGAGGGGACCTTAGGGGATGAGGTTGACTTTAGCCCTGGAGTGATGCTGCTTGCACATGTAAGGACCACGCCACAGGGGTCTCACTGCCCTGGCTGGCTGGCGGGTCTCTCTCACATGCTCAGGGGCTACTCAGTGTTTCTTAAACTGCGTTCCGTGGCACACTGGAGGTGTGGCGCGGAGAACAACAGAATTCAAAATGGCTACCCTTTTTTTTTTTTTGCTTAATAACTTCCCCCAACTCTTTTTTTCTCAATAACTCCCCCTACCCTCCCGATCCTTTTTTTTTTTCTCTCAAGAAAAAATCCTTGGTGTTCCTCATGAAAAAAATTATTGTTTGGTGTTCCTCAGTCTTAAAAAGTTTAAGAAACACTGGTCTAACCGATCAGGGTATTTGGAGTTGGGAAGGAATTTCCCCCCGGGGTGGGGGGTTGCCTTCCTTTGCAGCACTGGATACAGACCACGTGCAGGTTTAAACTAGTATAAATGGTGGCTTCTCGGAGTCATTATCGGAGGACTTCAGGTACCTCAGCCAGAGGTCAGGGGTCTATATCAGCGGGGAGAGGGCCTGTGGCCTGCAATATGCATGATGGGCCCTTCGGACTTTCTATGATCCTGCTACCGGCACTAGGGTCTGTTTGCCCAGAGCCAGCTGCGAGTCCGATGATCTAACCAGCCATGCAAGGGAGACTCTTACCTTGATATTACAAGCTCTGTGATTCTCCCTCAGCTTGGCAGAGACCTGTTACACAGAGAAACCCGTGGTACCGAGAGTCAAGCAGCTGGCCTCATTCCTAGACGGTGTTCCCTCGCAAGTATTAACGTCCCCCTGACTCTGACGCGCCGCTAGATTTCCTGGTAAGGCTGGAAAACTTTCCAGGTCTTCCAGATTGGCAGGGACATTCGTGCTGGTTAAATCTTTCCTGATCTACCCACTGCACCAGGAATAAGTCAAAGCCCAGTGTTATTTTAGTCTTAAAACTTTCCAGCGCAGAAAGCGCCACATTCAAGCGAGGTGGTCACATGGCCAGTCTACAGAGAAGGGCAACATAATAAACAAGTCTTTCCATGTACATCCCCGTTAATACAAATGACCAGTACCCAAAATGGGAAGGTCATTAGTTAAGGGGGAAGATTTTCTCACCCAAAAGGTCTGTGTAAATTATCCAGGTTGTAATTGAATCAAAGGTTGATTCAAAAATGCAATTATTCAAATTCCCACGAATCATGCATTCGTAGGGCATGGGAGTGAATACAAGATTTACAAGATTTGTGATCAGATTGACAGTGCTGGGGAGGGGATTGCTACCGACAGAGAGAAAAGATAATAGTTCACCAGCAACAGGGAGAGAAACTCATTAAAAATGGTGCATATAAATTCTTTATCTGTAATGACTGCTCCTTCAGCTGTGACAGAATCAATATCCTGAGAGCTTTTCATATCAGATGATAAAAGCCAGGAGACGTGGTTCTCAAACTTCCTCACATTAGTATGATTTATATCTAACTTATCTTTTGTTCCTTCAAAAGAGAGACTGTGTGTGTGAACCTTTCCTGATTTTAAAAGGGCTTCATTTCTATTCCTTGTTGGTCTAAGCTGCCTCACTAGTGACTACTGCATTATTACACAGTTCAGCTTTGTAGAGGCATTGTCTCTAAAATCCACCATAAAAATATCATGACTAAGCCACCGTGAGACATTTTCCTTGCGTGCCACTTTCCAAATGATGCAAATCAATAGTGAACCCAGATAAAAAGCACCAGCCGCACCCTCGGCCTGTGCGTGTATTTTCTCTGCAAGGACCAAAGGTGAACGTCAATGAGAATTGTGTGTGTTCACCCATCAAGGAGCCTCACGATTAGGGTTTTAATCCTGATCCGATTTATGTATATGCTTTAATGATAAGCACTTAAATAGTCACACTGATGCCAACAGCAACAGGCCAATGCTTAACATTCAACGGGGGGCGTTGCAGGATTCGAGACTTTCCTGCCACTCTCTATCATTTGGACTACATCATCCAGGATGCACCATGATTTCCCCTCTTGCTGAGCCATCAGATGCATGACAAGTCTCCACCAGGGTGCATCATGGTAGATGTAGTCTGGCTGGGGAAACCAGCCCAGAGCAGCGAATGGGGGTGCGAGACACACAATTATAACCTTCCACGAGGCAATTTCTGCATCAATATTTTTCGTTTTGGGGGCCTGGGACATGGTGGACTCAGCCCGACGCCCCCTGCTGGAGGTCTTGCTGCACCCGCCCCAGGGAGAGAGCAGAAAATAGGTCTTCCAAGCAGACTAGAGTGGCTGCTTCTGCTGCAGCCAATCAGGGCCCAGCAGACTGATATAAAAGAAGTTGCGGGTCAGGGCCTGGCAGTTCCTCACGGGAGCTCGACCCGGCAGACCCAGGGATTGACTGGACCAGCAGCACCTCAGACAGCTCTGAGTGGGAGCTGGACTTCAGACCTGGCTGAAACCCGGGTCCAGCGGCTGACGCCCGGCCATAACAGAAAACAACAATTGCAGAACCCGGGATGGGGGTGCTGAGGACTTGGCCTCAAAGCCCTGAGACAAAGGGCTGGACGCAGCAGCTTCTTGGGGAAGTGGCCCAGGGAGAAAGGGTATGTCTACACTACCACCCTAGTTCGAACTAGGGTGGTTAATGTAGGCAACCGAAGTTGCAAATGAAGCCCGGGATTTGAATTTCCCGGGCTTCATTTGCATCTTGCTGGGCGCCGCCATTTTTAAATCCCTGCTAGTTCGGACTCCGTGCCCGCTGCTACACGCGGCACGAACTAGGTAGGTCGGATTAGGCTTCCTATTCCGAACTACTGTTACTCCTACTTACAGGGTCCCTGGGCTGGGACCTGGAGGAGTGGGCGGGCCTGAGTCCCCCCTCTCACCCCCGCCAACAGCTACAAAAGAGGGATAAGAAGAAGCCTGGTTCCAAGCAACTGATCAGAAAACCAACAGAGACACCGGCATTCCCGGAACCAGTTGGGCAGGGAAGTTGTGGACATGCCCTCGGCCACAAAGGGGCGCTCATGAGAGGGTGAGCCAAAAAAAAAAAAGATTTGCTGGTTGCTCGGTCTTTCCGGTGACAAGTAAACATTGTCCATCAAAACAGACGCTTTTAGCAGAACATCTGTGACGTCAAAAACCCAACTTTCTGTCAGACAGGAAGTGGGGTGGGAAGCTTTTGACCAGCCTGATTCCTGAATGCAGGCCCCAAGGTCCTCTCCTCTTATGCCTCTATCCCTAGCCTGAAAAGGCTCGTTCAAAACATCCAGAGCCAGATGGGGCTGGGGCAGAGCCCTGGACGCGCAGACTCGGTGGTAAGGGGTGTCACCAAGGGCCCTTACCTCTCTGGCTTGGGGGCTCTCCGCTTCCTTCCTTTCGGCGATGGGGATGTCAGCAGGTCCACAGCCAGGACCCCTGGTGGCTTTGTAAGATGTCAGTTCGACCGTTTCGTCCTCACTGGTGGCTACTGACCCGTCCAAGCCAGACAAAGGGAACAGACATTCCTAAAATCAATGCCAAAAAGGAACCGCTGTGAGCCAGGACACCTGGGACAGATGGAACTTGGACCAACCCAGGGCTTCTCTCCTTAGGCCCCTGGGCAGAAAAGGTCTCGTGTGGCTGAGCTATGAAATCACTGGGCATTCTTGCCTCATTCCTCACCGCCGTGATAACAGGGCCAACGTCTCCCTGCTTTTCTCACATGCACAAGTCTGATGCCATGTGGGCAGCAGGACGTCGTGGGGATCAAACAGCAATGAGACAAGGGACTAGAACCTAAGCTGTAGCTCCATTCTAGTCAATGAGCAACACAGATTCGCACTAGCCTATGTTCTTACTTTTTCTAGAAGTAGGGGTGTAGCCAAATGGCTAGAGCCCTGTACCAGGAGGCTGGAGTCCTGAGCTTTAGGCCCAGCTCTGTCACTGGCCTGCTGGATGCTTTTGGGTAAGTCACTTCACCCCTGTGTGCCTCGGTTTCCCCTTCTGTATAATGGGGAGAATGTTCTTGCCTTCCTTGGGAATACACTTTGCTAAGTGCTGATGGAGAAGCGCTGTATAAGCGTGAGGGATTATTATTATTAGGCCTTTAAGGCAATGGACTGGTCTGTTGGTTTCAGTACCGCTGTGCTGTAGGGATATAAATGGGTAACCGGGTAACCGGTAAGCCTCGCTCGTAAGAGAGCAGTGTGGGGTACTCCAACCTCAGCCCTGAAATGCTTCACAACCTTCTCCCGCTACTGCACACTTCTTATCTGTGCCCAGAAGCCCAGCGGGTCGCTCCCCACAGCGCACAGGCTGTTTGAGAAAGGGGAAGTAGGAACAACTCTCGAGGAAGTCACACAACGCCAAGCCGACACTTAGCAGTGACTGTCCAAGGGGAAGCATCAGATACTGAACTCTCTGGTGTGTTTTAATGAGCTAGCAGAACTCTCTCTATGTCTGATATCAGCCTGAGAAGCCCAGACATTTCTGATTTCACGAGCTACAGACTTTCCTTCCAGATCTACACTAAAGGGGAAGGTTGAATCAAGATACACAACTCCAGCAATGCCAATTATGTACCTGGGGTTGAGTTTCCCTGCTGTCCCCGTGGCGAGAAGCTGATGCTCCCATTGGCTTCCCTTACTCCTCCCAGGAGCAGGAGTACTGGCCAGTAGGGGGTGGGGATCCCTGTGAGTTTGATTTAGCAGGTCTTAACTAGACCCGCTAAATCGAACTCCAGAAGATTGATCGTGGCAATGTTGATCTTCCGCTAAGTGAAGACATGGCCTTAGGTTCCTTATAGCAGCAGGGTAAGAAAAAATGAACAGCCTCTACACAGGGCAATGTGTCAGGATAAATACAGGCTGCTCCTTTTCCCCATGTCACCACCACTAAATAGAACTGCCTAGTGGCAGTAGCAGGCAATACGATACTCACGTGTCATGGAAAAGCAAAGTAAACACACTCCTATTTGAATCCATAGAGAGTCATTCATAAAAACAGCCCCTTGCATTACAAACCTGGGCCCATTGGTGAAATCGCTGCTTTTGCAGATTTCTCGTTAGTGGTTTAGGCTCCTGGCTGAGTGGTTCAGGCCGTCTGAAATATTCATAGAGTCGGTTGGTCCATTGCCCGAGTGATCTGATATGCAGCCAGATGGTATCTGTGAAGTGAATGCAGATGACACTGGAATAAGAAAGAGCCCTGGGTAAACATTCTGATGAAGGGAATCCTGCAACTGGACTACAATTTTGTACAGGCAAGATGCAGAATGAGTAACCTGGCCAAGTTCTGGTCTTGGCTACCCCTGGGAAAATCTAGAGGAATTTTTAGAAAGCCCAGGGAAGTTCCCAGGGATTTTGTAGAGGACAGACTTTGGCCCAGCATTTAAATTAAAGCTGAATTCCACGTTTAAAAAACACCAGAGGGCGTAAGAAGGGCTGGAGGCGAAGCAAAGAAATGCTCCGGCTATTTCAGTGAGGTCAGTCTAGAGTTTAACCCACTTCCAATACACCAGCTGCATTCCCCAGATCGCTGTGTCCGGGGATACATGGGATTGGACCATTTGGCCCCTTTCTGAGCATGGCGTGTTTCTCTAAGTGCAGGGAAAGACGTGACTAGGTTTTGCTCACAGAAACGACATTTCCCAGGATTCCACACGAGGCAGAAGGGCAGGTGGCAATGAATGTTCCCTTCCGGCAGGCCCAGGGCAGCTGCCAACGGTTCGGACTTGCGGACACGCACAATGCCCGTCTGCTTCTGCTTCCAGACGTGTGGCATGCGCCGGTGGGCGAGGACGGGGACGTGGAATACAAGTCCCTCAGCACGGGGGACCCAGCCCCCAGACTGGCAAAGAACTTCCTTTCACCCGTGATGCTTCAAACGCTGCCCCCCTCCCCCCACATCTCGGCAGCCCACGGTGGGAGAGCTTCATTCTTGGCTATCGAGCCCGTCGCATCAAATGAAACCTGCTTGCTGCAAAAATCTCCCTGCACCGCCACAAAGGGACTCGCTGCGATTTTATTTAAGCCGCCTTTTAAGTCACCGCTCAGCTGAAGTAGCAAAGCGGCGCCGCCCTGGTGCCCTGGGGAGCCCCGTACCTTGCTGCTCGGGCGCACTGCTGATGGTGAACGGGTGCCATTCGTACTTCGCAATGGCCGGGATGTTCAGGTAAATGTAGTCGCCAGGCTTGTAGTGGAAAAACGGTGGCCTCTTGATCACCAGATGAGTCACCTGGATTGAAACGAAAAGCCAAGATGTAGGCCAGGGGTCACCAGCCAGTCGATCGGGATCTCCTGGTCGATCTTGGAGCCTCTGGCAGGGGATCCTGACCGGTTCAGCCAAAAAGCTCTCCAATGCTGGCACTTCTGCTGTCCCCCCACTGCTATGCACCTCCTGCCCTTTGCCTTGGAGCTGTCTGCCACTCCCGCAGGGAAGGGAAGAGGAAATGCTGATGTCCGGGTGGCCCCTCTCTCATCCTGTATTCTATCGCCACAGAACGGAGGAGGCACAACAGGGCTGGGATGGAGGGAGTTTGCTGGCTGCTTTTGAGAGTGGTGCAGGACCAGGGCAGGAATGAGCCTGCCTTAGCCCCACTGCACCACCTCCTGGAAGCTACCTGAGATAAGCAGTGTCCACCTGGAGCCAGCTCTGAATCCCTGCCCCAGTCATGAACCCCTCCTGCACCCCAAACCTCTGCCCTAGCCCTGAGCCCCCCTAGACTCTAACTCCCTTATAGAGCCTGTATCCCTGCCCATCATAAACTCTGTCCTGCATCCCAACCTCTACCCCGAGCTCAGCTCAGAGCTGCTCTGAACACTCCAGATCCCTTAGCTCACGACCAGAGAATGCAGAATGAGTAACCTGGCCAAGTTCTGGTCTTGGCTACCCCTGGGAAAATCTAGAGGAATTTTTAGAAAGCCCAGGGAAGTTCCCAGGGATTTTGTAGAGGACAGACTTTGGCCCAGCATTTAAATTAAAGCTGAATTCCACGTTTAAAAAACACCAGAGGGCGTAAGAAGGGCTGGAGGCGAAGCAAAGAAATGCTCCGGCTATTTCAGTGAGGTCAGTCTAGAGTTTAACCCACTTCCAATACACCAGCTGCATTCCCCAGATCGCTGTGTCCGGGGATACATGGGATTGGACCATTTGGCCCCTTTCTGAGCATGGCGTGTTTCTCTAAGTGCAGGGAAAGACGTGACTAGGTTTTGCTCACAGAAACGACATTTCCCAGGATTCCACACGAGGCAGAAGGGCAGGTGGCAATGAATGTTCCCTTCCGGCAGGCCCAGGGCAGCTGCCAACGGTTCGGACTTGCGGACACGCACAATGCCCGTCTGCTTCTGCTTCCAGACGTGTGGCATGCGCCGGTGGGCGAGGACGGGGACGTGGAATACAAGTCCCTCAGCACGGGGGACCCAGCCCCCAGACTGGCAAAGAACTTCCTTTCACCCGTGATGCTTCAAACGCTGCCCCCCTCCCCCCACATCTCGGCAGCCCACGGTGGGAGAGCTTCATTCTTGGCTATCGAGCCCGTCGCATCAAATGAAACCTGCTTGCTGCAAAAATCTCCCTGCACCGCCACAAAGGGACTCGCTGCGATTTTATTTAAGCCGCCTTTTAAGTCACCGCTCAGCTGAAGTAGCAAAGCGGCGCCGCCCTGGTGCCCTGGGGAGCCCCGTACCTTGCTGCTCGGGCGCACTGCTGATGGTGAACGGGTGCCATTCGTACTTCGCAATGGCCGGGATGTTCAGGTAAATGTAGTCGCCAGGCTTGTAGTGGAAAAACGGTGGCCTCTTGATCACCAGATGAGTCACCTGGATTGAAACGAAAAGCCAAGATGTAGGCCAGGGGTCACCAGCCAGTCGATCGGGATCTCCTGGTCGATCTTGGAGCCTCTGGCAGGGGATCCTGACCGGTTCAGCCAAAAAGCTCTCCAATGCTGGCACTTCTGCTGTCCCCCCACTGCTATGCACCTCCTGCCCTTTGCCTTGGAGCTGTCTGCCACTCCCGCAGGGAAGGGAAGAGGAAATGCTGATGTCCGGGTGGCCCCTCTCTCATCCTGTATTCTATCGCCACAGAACGGAGGAGGCACAACAGGGCTGGGATGGAGGGAGTTTGCTGGCTGCTTTTGAGAGTGGTGCAGGACCAGGGCAGGAATGAGCCTGCCTTAGCCCCACTGCACCACCTCCTGGAAGCTACCTGAGATAAGCAGTGTCCACCTGGAGCCAGCTCTGAATCCCTGCCCCAGTCATGAACCCCTCCTGCACCCCAAACCTCTGCCCTAGCCCTGAGCCCCCCTAGACTCTAACTCCCTTATAGAGCCTGTATCCCTGCCCATCATAAACTCTGTCCTGCATCCCAACCTCTACCCCGAGCTCAGCTCAGAGCTGCTCTGAACACTCCAGATCCCTTAGCTCACGACCAGAGATTGTACCCCAACCCTCTGCCCCTGCCTGATGAAAAGGAGGAAGGACGGGGGAGGGAGGAAGGGGGGATGGCGTGAGCAGAGCGGTGCCTCGGAGAAGGGACACAAAGGAGGCAGCGCAAGGGTATTTGGGTTTGAAGTCGATCCTGCACTGCAGTTCTTTCAAAAAAGTGACCTTGTGCTTGAAAAGGTTGGAGACCCCAGATGTCGAGGGTAGCACAGCGCACCAGGAATGGCCGCAGACTGGGTGTTGCTCAAGCCTCTTCCACAAGCCTCCAATTTGGGGCCTGCCGTTTGGAGCATGCAAAGGATTGCAGGCCTATTTCCCAGCATGCAGCATTACAGCCGGGCCCTGCAACGGCACGGGTGAGACCCGTATCGGCGCCGCTACGGAGAGGCCCCTTGCAATGGGCGCCGGGGCTCTGGCCTTGGTGCGACTGTTTGCTGAAAAGATCCTGTGAACGCTGACGGAGGACTGCGAGTAACACACTTTCTGGCCGACGGTTCCGTTCTCAGCTCGCGGCAACGTCTTGGCTGGCCAGTCGCGTGACGGGGGATCGTTTGTGGGGCTTTTGACAGTGACCCAAGAGAAGGGCTGGGGGACAGATCTTTAGTTAATCCCCGGGCCATATAAGGTAACGCCCGCTCTTGCACCAGATAAACGAATAACGACCACCCCTAGCTCTTCGCAGATCTCACTTCGCGGTCACTCACATTCTCATCCCCATTTTACAAAGGGGAAGCTGAGGCACAGAGCCATGTCTAAGGTCTGGCAAACAGACACCGGACTCGAACACAGGTCTCCCTTCCCAATCTGGTGCTTCAGTTACTAGGCCACGCTGCCTCCTTATTTGAGCATTGCCATTTCTAATTCCCCCACATTTACAGCAGACTGCCATTCCAACACGCTGCCACGATACACACGAGGTGATTATCGGAGGCTGTCTTTTTCATGCCTCTTGTGTCTCACTTGTCCTTCCTTTCCCTCGTGCCACATAGGAATGATTCTTTCTGCACAGGGCTTTTCACCAGAATCCCCAACCCGTGTACAAACACCAAAGGCTCTCCTGTGAGTCAGGGGGCGGATTTGTATACCCATTTTAGAGAACAGAAAAGAGAGGCACGGAAGGGTAACGAACTTCCCCCAGGTCGTGCAGCAAGTCAGCAACAGAGCTAGGAACAGACTCCATTCAGCTTAAATCCTGAGTCTTTATTTCACGTCCCACCCCAGCATCTGCAGAAGTGGCAGGCCCGCCCATGGGGAGGGGGCAAAGGGGATAATTGCCCCGGGGCCCGGCCATTCACAGGGGCCTGGAGCTCCCAGCTGCCACCGCTGCTACTGCAACAGTAGCCAGTGCCTGGGGCCCTTCAAACTGCCATGGGAACACTGTAGTACTGTGCCATGCGGCTCTGAGAGCTGGGGGGGACAGCGCTGTGGCCTGGGCAGTGCTAAGGGCTGACCTCCCTTGGCCCCGCCCCTTCTGCCCTTGGCCCCGCCCCTTCCATGGGCCCT